TTATACTGTCAGAGAACAGTGACTTGTGTTTCATAATTCATGTACTTGATTTATTTTTGACAATTCTATCACATTTTCAACAGCTATTAAAAAACAATTTCTATCTGCAAATTTTAAAAGGTTGGTAGTTTGGCTTCCATGGTGAAGCACTACGATACCTCAAAGCATACCACTTCTAGAGTTTAACACATAATTTTTTTAAAGCAAGGGATTCTAACACTAAACTTAATCATATGACCAATATCCTTCAGAAGGCCTTCCTAAATAAAGTCAAGAATTTCAGAAGAAAAAAAAATACTCCTTCTTCGAATTCAATGAACTTTTATAAAAATAGTGTATAATCAGTTGTTTTTTCCTTTTATTTGGCGGTGGGCTATTTAAGCCTAGAATGCTAGAATCTTGACTCATCTTAATGTGGAAGAACCTCAATAGTTCATTTTTCATTCCATTATTCCAGAGCATTCTGTGGCTTAAATTAAGTCCCTAGTATGTAATGATTATATTGAGCAGTAGCTTAATAGGACTTAATTAACTTATATGGTGAATGCCTGTCCAAATACCATAATCATCAATGTTATAAGAGGTTTCCTGTGAAAATCGTATAGCAATCAGAAGATAACAGAATATTAGTAAATGCTTTCTAACACAAACTTATACAGCGAGTAAGATCTTTGTGATGTTACAGTATTTCTGGCTCAAGACTGTGGACTAACCACACACATTTATTTCTTCTCCCTTGTAAAACCCAACCTTCCATTAAACGATAATGACACAGAGAAAATAAGAATCCAAAACAATATTAAGTGAAGAGGAAGGGAAGAGAGTAGCAATCAATAGAATAGCATTTTCAACAAATTCCTAGAAGGCAGAATGCAGATAGGGGAGTAGGAACTGATGAGACAGGAAAGAGAAAGCTCTGGCTGCAATAATGTGAGCAAGAGGCTACTGATTAGGGGGAAGCCATGTGTCGTGGCAAACCCATAAAAACTGTAGTCGTCCAGTGTATGGAAAGGGAAGAATGAAAAATGGGGCTAAGAATGGGGAAATTAACAAAAGGTTCCATGAGGAATAGTCTGTGATACCCACCCCCCAAAAATGGCATGGTGGCCAGATGTGTATGCCCCTCCAAAAAATGTAGGGGATTTTCTAAAGAAACAGAATGATTTCAGGGAGTACCAGAACAGCTGAACTCCCCTAATATGACACATAAGGGTTCCTCATACTAACAGCTAGCCCACCATTAACCCACACACTCAATAAGCTCAGTTCACCCATACAGAAGTCTTTATCAATGTTTTACTGTCTGTCATAAATATAAATAAACAACCAAAACCCATCTTTTTTTTTTTAAGATTTTATTTATTTGAGAGAGAGCGAGCCAGAGAGAGAACACAAGCAGGGGAAGTGGCAGGCTCCCCGCTGAGCAGGGAGCCCACGATTGGGCTCGATCCCAGGGTCCTGGGATCATGACCCGAGCAGAAAGCAGACACTTAACCAACTGAGCCACCCAGACACGCCAACCCATCTTCTATTTAAGGAAAGACTACAGAATAACAGAGAAGGAAAAAGATGATAAACAAAAATACAACCCCTGGAGAAAATTAAAATAATTAAGAAAACATCTTTAAAAAAATCTATATTCTTTGAAAGCTTTCAAGACACTGTATTCATAAAATAAGAACAAGACGCTGTGAAAGAGGAACAGAGAGCAAGAAAGTGCTCTTGGAAACTAAAATACCTAATTATGACTATGGTAAATAAAAATCATCAGAAGCGCCCCAGGAAAGGTAGAAGAATGGAAGAAGGAATGGAATCTAAGCTAGGTATCTGACTGTGTTCCAGCAATTATGCTTTAACTTACAAAACACAGAATTTTCAATACACAGATTCTACAAAACAAGGTCGAATCCAAGAGAATAAAACAGGCAAACCCCAGAGTGATAACAATACAGGAGTAGGCACAGATCACTCATTCAAGCAATTTATAAACAAAGCACAGATCACTCTAGCTTTAGAACAGACAATAAGTTACAAATTTTGACACTGCAAAAGGAAAATAATACAAAAGTTGGGAGGTGAAAGAAGAGGAATGGAGAGCAGTGCGGGATGTAGTATCTTCGTCTCACAAAGTGGGGAGCCCAAAGACACTCTCTCTGGTTCATAGGAAACTAAATAAAAATATACTAACCCAGAGATTGTCCTTACATAACAACAGTGCTGTGTGCCGGGCACTTACTAAGAACGTTCTAGGGGGTTGTTCATTTAACTGTACCATACAAAATGATCCTTAAAAAAAGAAAGGAAAAATGTTAAAGCTACAGGGTAACCAACACAGGAACCAACTGTGGTGATAATAACTACATTAAAGGGGAGGAAAGAGAAAGATAAAGAGCGTGGTGAAAATAGGCTGATGCCTCATGTATCAGAGCAGGAAGTCAAAAGATAACAATATCTGAAATTGGTAAGTCAAGAAACAGAGGCATAAACATTATTTAGACATACGACGATCATCCCCAGAAGAACTACATACTGAAACAACAACAACAACAAAATTTAAGTGGTTCCCTTGGGAAACAGAACTAGACTTGGGAAGATAGGTAACAAGATTACTGCTTTCATGTGTAAAAAATTTCTGAACTTTTTATATCTTTAACCATGTGGATGATTTACTTTGATCATTTCTTTTCAATTCAGTTAATAATTTTTTCAAAAACAGTCACAATCTAGAATGTCCTACTACCTCAGGCAGGTGAAATTCCTATGTATTTTAATGGTTTCCAGAGAATGATCTAATAATGCCAGGTTCGTAAGTTAGCATGTCCTACATTTTTCACTTAATGCTGCATTTGTGATTCTACGGAATACTAAGATGTGGCCCCTGGTGGCCTGTAATTGTAAAATACACAGTCCACAGTCTGAAAGGCACTATTTACTCATCTGTCCCATCTTTAACATTTATGTTCTTTATTCCTCTTTTTAAGAATGGAGAGACTTCAGAGCTCTTGACACAGGACCAGAGCATGGGGACCCAGCTAGATTGGATGGCAGGCACAGGAGACCGTCCTAAAGGAAAGGATCAGAAACATTCACAAAGGAAACGAACCAGGTTCACTGAGAAACAACTGGCAGATTTGGAATTCTTGTTTAGCAAGAACCCATACCCTGCTCCCAGCCTTCAGAAAGAAATGGCCTCAAAATTGGAGATACATCCCACCATACTGCAGGTTTGGTTCAAGAACCACAGAGCAAAAGTCAAGAAAGCCAAACAACAGCAATTAGCTGGGGTGGAAGTCAAGACCAGATCTTCCAAGAGACACACGGATGCCACTCCAGGAGGCCCCGATAGTGCCTACCCTGCTTCCCTAGTTTATACAGATCACCCCATACCTTCCTTCCAACTCAGCATATGCTCCAATTTTAAGGCTCTCCCAGACCATTCTTTTGGCCACAAAATAGTCCATTTCGGCTGCTGCTGAGATTCTAACATCTACTCCCTACATCCCATTACGGAATCCCAAATTCCTTCCACAAGCTTCACTGCTAATTCTTTGGGTTCTTCATCTCCACAAAGAATTTAGTGAGCAAAGCCAGACACTAAAGGTCACCTACGTAACGATTTGCAGTGATTCCAGATGAGAGACAGAGTCCAGATCTATGCAACATGGAGACATTTCAGAAATGGGCTCCGTGAAAAGAAAAAGAGACCCACAAGTGCCTGTGGGGTGGAACTGAGTGGCAAGAGTCGCTCAACAAACTATTGCAATGGGGATGTTTCATGTTGTAATTCGGATGGCAGGAACCTGCATGTATAAATTCATCCAAAGACACAGAACTGTAATACTGTATAAAATACACCACAAAAAAACAATCGCTTGACAGGACAGAAGCTAATGCCATGGCGGTAACCATTTTGCAATATATAAATGTATCAAATCAACACATCATACACCTTACACTTGTATCTCAGTAAAGCTGGAGACAATTTTTAAATTGTATCTCAATAAATATACACAATGAGAAAAAAAAAAAAAAGAATGGAGAGACTTCAATACCCTGTTGACCACAAGAATAGGTTCAAGAGAGAAAATTCCTGGTGAGATCGATACTGACCAAAGCCGCCATTACTGCCACACTGGGCTAAAGCATCAACACTGGTTCTAACAGCAGAGAAGGGCTGATACACCTAGGCAAGTGGTGTAGATGGTGGACTGAATCCAACAGTAGGTACTGCCTGCTCTTCCTCAAGGTCACAAACCAGTGGTCCCTTCCAGTCATACCCCACACACATTTGGTTGGACCTGCATTACGCTGGCCCATACTATGTTTTTAATTTTTGAAAAAGTAGTCAGCATCCAAAACTGATGTGGATTTCCACCTGTTCTCAGTATATCAACAGAGGCAGTTCCCTCAAGGAGGGTAGGTGTGCCCCCATTTGCCATACCTAGCCTGCTCCCCTCATTTCTGTTACCAGTCCAGCTGTAGTAGCCATTTGCATTTCTGACCCTTGCTATAAAAGAGGAAACCTGTTGACACTCTTAAACTATGCCAAGAGTCTCTGGGGTAGGACTCATGCTCAGGTGGCAATGGAACATGGGCGACAACACAACGTTTCTTGGCAGCAACAGCTCCAGAAGGGGATTAACGGGAGTAGTGCACAGCAGTCATTCCTACCTAAATGCTGTTTCTAAATAGCCGGGTATTTTAAAGCAGTGGACTCTCTCTATTGGGGTATTACATAAGATCAGCCAATGGAGAAAAAAAATACAAGAATTACCCCCAGGCCTAAAAATTAAGAATTTCGGTGTATGCCTATCTGACCACAGCTTATTCCCTACCAAGTGCCTTACTTTGAGTAGAACTAGAAATGAAAGAAAAACTTTTTAAAAAAGTGGTAAATCCTAGTGATAACACCTAACAGACGGAAATAAAAACGGAAGCACAAAGTCTGATAACTTGCACTGTAATCTACACTTTCAATAAAATAGTCATCATTTACTTACATTTTAATGTCTCTCCAGCATATGGTATGTGCAGTTTAAATCGGTCACAGTTGGGTCCAGGAGTCAATGATGTGCAGCTTTAAAGAAAGAGAAGAAAAGATTTTTTTTTTTAAAGCCCATGTATTTATGACATTTAATAAAGTAAATAAAAAGTGATCCTTAGAGATAAAAGATTAAAACACTGGCTTATAAAGAAAATAAAAGCCCTTGATGGTCATGGAGGCCAAGACAATAAGACTTGCCCTAAAACAAATAATCCATTTATGTCACAATAAAACTTATCTGCTTTCTAAGGACAAACACCAACAAAGCTTCAACTACTTCTCTCCAGTAAGTATATCTTGGCTTCTAATGTAGATGTACCGTCCAAAACAGGTCTGTAGTCTTTGACGTCAAAAATTATAAAAGAAGAGTAGTTTTATGGACAGAGTTTAAATATAGACCCTTAACTTTCACTCATACTAAAAAGAGTCTACTTTTTACCTCCAAAGGTAAGGTGCTCCCTCTGGATTTGGCACCCCATGACTTCCATCTACAGTAGAGCACAATACAATGCCCTCAGTTTCAGATAAAATGCAAATGTAAAAGGAGGGTGAATTAGTCACTCAGGTCTGGGTTTATTTTTTTTTCAATCTATTACTTCACAAAGTTATACAATGTTCTTTGTTCTTTACACAGATACAGTTTTATTTTTTTTTAAAGATTTTATTTATTTATTTGAGAGAGATAATGAGAGATAGAGAGCACGAGAGGGAAGAGGGTCAGAGGGAGAAGCAGACTCCCTGCTGAGCAGGGAGCCTGATGCAGGACTCGATCCCAGGACTCCAGGATCATGACCTGAGCCGAAAGCAGTCGCTTAACCAACTGAGCCACCCAGGCGCCCTACACAGATAGAGTTTTAAAAGATCTCTTTCATGATCTCACAAGTCATAACTTCAAATGCGTAACAGCAGTATTGGCTTCATAAATTAATATAATATTAATATGAAGTCAATAGAGGAAATTTTAAGTCTTCATTTAGTTTTAAAAAATGAGGTTTTTCGATTATAAAGTAAAGCAAAAGATGCTAAATTTCTTTCATAATTCCAATACTGACTATGAGGCATCTCTGAAAAGGGTATCTTAAGGAATGGAAGCATTGTTAGAATAAATGTACCACTTCCCTAGATGGCCACTTTGAAGGCAATAGTCATTTGAAAATAAATTTAAGAAATGTTGACTCTAAGGGATGCCTGGATGGCTCAGTTGGTTAAGTGTCTGACTCTTGATTTTGGCTCAGGTCTTGATCTCTGGGTCGTGGGTGGGCTCCATGTGGGGCTCCGTGCTCAGTGCAGAGTCTGCCTGCGATTCTCCCTCTCCCTCTTCCCTCTCCCTTTGCCCCTCTCCCCACTCATGTGCCTTCATGCACATGCGCACGCTCTGTCTCTCAGAAAAAAAACGTTGACTCTAAAAAAACTAACTAGGATCTCATATTAGTTTTACCATTACTTTACCCAAAACTATCTGAATGTGAAAAAGAAAAGAACCAGATGGAAAGTTTAACTCAGATGTATTTAACATAAATCACTAGGTTGATTATTCCCCTTATCTTTAGGGGACAATAAAAAACACCAGTTTACAAACTAAACAACAAAGTTGCACTAGTAATTGTAGAGTAACCTATTTCAATTTCTTATAGGTTTTATGAACACATTCTCCTTTACTATTCAATATAAAAAATTCTTTGGGGCACATTTTATTAAAGGTACTAAAATATTTCCCTTATAATATAATCTTTCCTAGCCCATAGCATGGCAGTTATTTGAAAACAAAAAACAATTATGGAAAATACATAAATTAAAGCATTACAAAATATAAAGTATGATCTAATGACAGAAATGACCTACAAGCAACACTAAGAATTTTTTCTCATATATATTCAAAGAACAATGTTTTAAAAAAATTTTTTTCATACAAAATAAACACCATTCACAATCAAGCATCTCCTTTGGGTGTGAAGATCAAATTATCTCCCTATCTTACACAGCTTAGCAACTGAAGTTATTAATAGTACAGGAAATCCTCAGGATTAATCTGATTCTACTTTGTTTGAATAACTTGTCCTTTTTCAATGTGAAATCAGTTGTGACATTCACTGTTGGGCTACATTTTGTATTCTTTATGCTTTAACGAGGACTAAAAGGTGCTTTCACTAAAAGTCCCCCTTCACCTTCCTCCCATCCTCCCAACCTCCCGACCTCCCGCAAACAGCTGGTTCCAGCCACCCTAGGGTGTTAAAAAGTACATTTCTTCATCTGAGTGATTCGCTCACTGATTTTTTTTTTCCACTTAGGTATAAAGATTTACTGAGCATTGTTGTATGTGTTAGGAATACAACATGGACAAGACAGACAAGATTTACCCTTCCAAGGAACTTAAATTCTGACAAGGGAAAAAGAAGCGATAAACAAGAGACAAAGGTATAAAGATGGTTCAAGACTGTTAAATGTTGTGAAGAACATAAAACAGTGTCGCAGCGAACAGGAGCTATTGCTCCTGTTCAGTGCAGAACAGTGCAGTACACGGCACTGCACACTGGACGACTGGGGAGGACCTCCCTGTGAGGAGGTGAAATCCCTCCGAAACCTGCGTAACTATCACCAAGGGGCCTATCAGGGAGTGCTGGGCCAGAGCACTCCAGGCAGAGGAAACAGCTGGTGCAAAGGCGTGAAGGCAGGAACAAGACTGATATAACTGGGGGGAGAAATCTTGAGACATCTGGGCGATGCAGCTAGAGCAGAGTGAACGAGGGAGAGAAGAGCAAAAGATCAGGACAAGAGCGAAGCAAGGGACAGATCTCAAAGAGCCTTGTAGGTGGCGGCAATTAATTCAGAGTATTCCAAGCACAAAGGAGGGTTTTAAGAAGAGTAATATTATCAGATTCTATGCTTTTTACAAGATCAACCATGTTTACTGTATAGAAAGAGAGACTATAAAGATGTCCAACAGAAACCTACAGGAGTGAGTTTCAGGAAAGAAAGATGATGGATACTTGGACTCAGGGAGCAGCAGTACCAATGGAGAGATGTGGATTTCCTCACTGGGGATGAGCAGGAGGGGAACAAGTTCAGGAGGAAGAGCAATCAAGCCTACACAGTGTGAGACAATAGCCAAATCGTCTATGAAAACAGAGCCAGAGTAATGGGCGGGCCAGCCAATCCATAATGAAAACATCACGGAAAAGACAGAAGAAAAATTTGCCAAAACTCACCTTAGAGCAAGCGCTGTATATTGTTGAAAAGACCACTTACTTGGTGTGGGGACAAGGGCAGGGGTCATACTCCCCAAAGAGCATTCCCAAGTTAAAATGGCTAACCTCCAGTTAACTGCAGGTTTCTGTTTTGCTAAGAGGAATACACAAATTTGGGGCCAAGAACTTAACAGTTCAAGGCAACAGGGGAAAGACGAAGCTGCCATTAGCAGGTCTCTCTCTCCTAAACAGCACTCAGCTTCTCTCATGAAATGTTGAACAAATACTTAAAATATCTATTATGAATAAATAAATAAATAAATAAAATATCTATTATGTTCTATCTTCCATATTACCCAAGATAAACAGCTTTATGGGAAACAAGCCAACGTCATATTAACTAAAGGTTCTTTTAAGATTAAACTAAAAATGTTTCCCCTTCTTTAAAATTAGCTCTGTCTAAAATTGGTTTTGGTCAGGGGCGCCTGGGTGGCTCAGTCCTTAAGCGTCTGCCTTCGGCTCAGGTCAGGATCCCAGGATCCTGGGATCGAGCCCCACATCGGGCTCCCTGCTCAGCAGGAAGCCGGCTTCTCCCTCTCCCACTCCCCCTGCTTGTGTTCCCTCTCTCGCTGTGTCTCTCTCTGTCAAATAAACAAAATCTTCAAAAAAATAAAATAAAATTGGTTTTGGTCATGTATTTAATTTACCGTGAAATTTCAAATCGCATTCAAGGACGGCATTGGTTTTTCTGCTACTCAAAAAAGGGCACGGGTTAAAAAAGATCGAAGAACACATATGAGTAGTATGATTTCTACTTATGGAAAAGACAGATCTGTGTGTATGTCTATGCACGTAAACAGATTTCAGAAGGAGAGTCACCAAAATATGGCAGGATTTGGGGTAATTTTTACAACTTCCTTTGATTACCTTTCTGCATTGTTTTGATTTTTATGATGAACATGGACTACTTTATAATTATATAAATATTTTAAAGTTAAGTAGATCCTTTTTATATTTGACTAGATGGCTTGATTTATCATTTATCTTTTTCCTCTAAAGAGCTTCACTCTTTTTTGAGAAGGAAAAAGTGCAAGGGTAATCTACTGATGAATTCCTCAAGTAAAATATATAGGGAAGTCTTTATATTGTGACATTACAAAACTTCACACTGCTAATATTTATTATCCCTCACGGTTCCATTGGGTCAGAGTTTGGGAATGGCCCGACCGAGCAGTTCTGGTGTAGGGTCTCCCAGGATACTGCAATCAGACATCATTAACAGATAACTAATATAGTGGAGAAGTTCATTCATCTAGAAAATCATTTCCTTATATAAGTATGAAAAAGCTACTAAAATAACAAGCAGCTGGCTTCATTAAAATTATATTTGTATAATGGCAACTTGTCCTAACACAGGTCTAAGATTTAAAAACCAGTATTCCAAATTGAGCATCTCTGAATAAGAAGATAATTTTAAATGATTTAAAAATTGCTGACAATCTAAATGTAACCTCAAATTTGTCCCTCAACTAAATTTCCCAAGTGCTTACCACTTGTCAGGCACTGTGCTAGGTACACAGAATACAGAAGGGATGAACAAAAAAAATACCTCGGTATTATATTGGAAAAAAAAAAGTTTTTGCATGAAGAACTATGCTCTAAAAATATTATCTTTTACTGGGAATGCACCATTTTAAAGTTTAACACATGGGAGAACAAAGGGAGTTAAACTACCACATTCTGCAGATGATGCAAGTGGGAATTATCAAGTGAGAATTTCTGATAACATCAGAACAGGTAGTTTACTGTGGTGCTTTATTACAGAAAACAGAGCCAGCTAACCACAGA